AGAGAGAGAGAGAGAGAAGAAAATGATTCGATGGAAGAATTGATTGGCTCGTATCGATTTCTTCGTATTTCGATGGTTTCGCGAAACATTTAAGATCATTTTGATCGCGTTGATTCTCGTTTCGATTCTCGATCGTGTTGCGCAATCGTTGAGCACGGCGATGTTTTTCGTGGCGAGGTCGGAGCTGGAGGAATAACGGTGACCGTAGCCGAGGACAGTGACCCGATGAAAATCTTGGGTACATAAGAAAGAGAAACCGTTGAGAACGTGCTCCCATCGCTCCTACCAGAACAAAATAGATTTCACCGGTGATCGTTCCTATCGATAAAAAGCTCGCGACATTTAACTCGACGTTGAACGCGGGAACGGTAAACGATCGTTTCCAAGCAATAATATTTCGATAGAAAAATGCTAGTCGATAAGAGACGGTGATTAATTCCGTATCAAACGGTTAATTGAACGTAATCTTCGTATATTTATAGTTTGTCGTGACGTCGGACTTTATAACATTTTTCGATCGACATCGAGCGGAGAATATTCTGCTTTATAAATAAAGATTTACGATTATGCCATTTTCCCTCGAATATTGAGATAGATAAAGAAAAATTTAACGAATAATATAAAAATGGATGAATTTTCGAAATGGATACCTGAGAAACGATAATTCCCAATATCTGTGTACCTCTGTGGTCGAAAGAGAATGATGCTCGGTACAGATCTCTTATTGGCAAACAGATCTCTTCCACCATACCTTCCTCACTGACCGTGGCAATACCTTCTTCCGAAGAGTGGCATCAACATTTCACTGTGTCGTCCAGTTTCCAGCGTCCACATTCCCTGTTTCCTTCACGCCTTGTATTTTCTCGAACGTTGAACGTAGAACCCGAGAGACAATGTATTATTTACGGAACACGACTCGTTTGTATCTCGATCGTTCCATGTTCCGATCCAGTAAACGAGTCACCACGAGACGGTATATTTTCTTCTTTCCGATGAAAACATCACGCGTATACGAGGATGGACGAGCAGCAACGGAGGAAGAAGACCGCGACCAAGAGACGTCGAACTAAGTAGAAAAGAAGAAGAAGAAGAAAAAGACGAAGAGGAAAAAGAAGAAGAAGAAATAGTATAAGAAGAAGCGAAGGAAGGGAAGAGAGAAGGGGTTACGGCAGAGAGTTGGGCAAGGAAGAAGATCGGCGGTTACGTGCGTACGTAGAAGGAAAAAATTGAGGCAGAGAGGAGGCTTTTAAAGTCGTAGGAGCCGCAGCCGGGAGGACTCCGCGAACCGGTTGCTCGAAGTGACGTGAGTGAACTGAGGCTGCAGGCTGGCAGGTAACGCCAGGTAAACTCCAGCCGACCTGCGATACACACGCAAGAGAAGGAAGGTGGCTGGCTGGTCGAGTGGCTGGGTGGTTACGCCGAGCCAGCCAGCCGTAGAGACAGTCAGCTCAGTCAGTCGACCTGGGGAGTCAGCCAGCGGCCCCTGCGGCCGCAGGAACGAGCCACAGGTGAGGGACGTGGTGGAGAGGATCGGTATTTCGTAGGGTAGGGGCTGGAGGGGAATGACGGAGGAGCCAGAACGAACGGAGGGGAAGGAAAAAGAAGGTGGGAGAGGAACGAAAGAGAGAGAGAGAGAGAGAGAGCTCGGTGTTGGTGGTGTTGTGTGTGACTCAGCCTCGGAATGAGCGAATAGGCCAATAGCATAGCGAAAACCTGTAACCTGTGTGCGCGCGGGATACGTACACACGTACAGAGTGATCGAGAAATAAGGGCCCGGGTATGGTTTTCCGGTGAATCGGCGCGGATGATCGAATGGCGCCGATGTTTCGGGCACGTGGCACCGGCCCGTTCGCTTTTCGTCAAACTGTTCTCTCCATCCTCCTTTCTCCCCTCCTCTTTTTTTTCCCTTCCTTTTTCTCTCCTCTTCCTTCCTTTCTTCCTTCCTTCCTTCCTTTCTTCCTTCCTTCTTTTCTTTCTTTTATTTCGTCAACGTCATTTTTCGCCAACGACCAAGAGGACTGGTTACGAAGCCTTTCTACCCACACGACGACGGGGAAGGGAAGAAGAGTTTATTTTAGAGAGATCTTCCGGGCACGTTATGGTTCCCACGCACAAGTGAATTTTCGTTTCCTTTTTTTTTTATCTAATTGAGAGAGGATTTGCGTCGTATCGAAATCGTACGGTATTAATAACGCGGACAATTTACGCGGTACCGATGATTTCACGTGCACCGAATCGTAATGCGTTGCCGCTCCACCGATTCCATCCTCGTAGCTCGTGGGAATGCGTTTCCATGGTTTATTTAACGATGCCCACCCCGCGCGTTTACGCTCCCAATAAAATGTCGATCGCGTGATTGAACAGCGGAGCTGTTCCGTTCCCCCTCCACCGTGAAACGTTTCGCAAATCGTACCAGCTACCTTGAAATTACCTGTACGCGACATCATCCTTCGACAAATGTTTTCGAAGATCGGTCGAATCTTACCGCAAGTTCATCGATCGAAGAGAAATTATCGCGACGGATAAATCCGGGAGAAATTCATCAACGCGGTTCACGAACAATTCAAGAGTCACCCAGTATATTAGAGACTAACTATACCTGAATCCAACAGAGCGTGACTTTTCACGTGTAGTCGTGGTGGAGTGGGGCATGATCGTAAGCCGGCATAGAGTAAGATAGACTTTGATAGAATTTACACGGTGGCTTCGAAGAGCCAAGAACCTCTGCGATGCAAAGACCGCGATGGACACGGATTGCGACAGGCAATCCTTCATTTTTTTTTCTTTCTCTCTCTTCTCTCTCTCTCTTTCTCTTCCTTATAACCCGTGTCCTTCTGGGGACTTTGTCGTTTCGCCTCGGTCATTTATCTGGACACTAGCGACTCCCATCGTGGCTGTATCCTTTCGATGTTATTATTCAGCGTTAAAAGGACTTCCATTAAATGTCCCGAAAGAGATACGTTCGCCACATTCGATTCATCCTTCTCGACTCTCGATTCTATTCCCGAGGTTTTACCAAATTACTAACCTCGAGATAATTACCAACCTTGTAATTAACCATTCCTTTCGAGACTCGAAAACGGCCAATGATAAATAATCCTTCCGCTAATTGCTCGTCCTTTGATCAATCTTGGTCGAGTTGTATTATTCAATACAACGGCCATTTATTCTATATGGAACGAAATCATCGCGGGGGTCAACGACCCCCACTTCGCACGGGGAGACGAGAAAGAGAAAGAGGGATTCCACCGGAGGAACGAAACAAGCGGATAGAGTTTACGGTACTCTTTTTTAATTATCGTTCGTAGGTAGTTACGGATACCTATGGGAGCATGGAACACTTAGTTGCAATTCGTTATTTTCGATTCGCGGAACACTCGTTCGGTTATATTTGCTCGGTTTCGCATCGGGCATAGGCATCTTTTCTAGTTCCTTCCAACGAGGATTACCATGACCATCGCAGCGCAACTGGTCTATGCGCATGGAGAAATGCAGCTGATGCGCACCGCTGAATCCCGAGGTCAGCGACTCGTCGACGGAGTTAGTGGAGCGCTTAGGCTCGCTCCAGGGATTTTATGAATTGGTGCATGGTCGTCGCGTGGAAGGAGGCGAAGAAGACGACTTTGGCGCGAAAATTGGAAGAAGCGTTCGAAAGAATTATTCGCGTTCGCGCAAGTAGATACGCCAACCGGCGATGCGAACGAGATCGGAGGAGAAACCTCTCGTTAATGATTCCGTCCGTTCTGCAAAAATTTCTCGAGCGATGCTCTTTTGGTAGCGAGCGAGTTAGTTACGTTTAACGAGGAAGAAGGAAGAGGATTTGTTTCGATCGCGCAAAGAATTTCGTATCACTACCATTTATCTCTTCCGCTTCCTCTTGCGATTCCACCGATCCAAAATGGATCGCGTGGAGCTCCGTTTTCCTTCGATCGAAGGATCGTACGATCCACGTGGCCTCTACGATTATTTCCTCTATCTTTTTCATCCATCGACATCCCGCCGTGTCGTGTACTGCCGCCGTCATCGTGATCGGTAGCAACTTGTAGCGCCATGATTGTCCTCTCCGCGTTCTATTCTTCGTTTCTTCTCTCCTCCTCGCTTCGTGGTGTTCCGCTCACGAAGCCACGGTGTACGCAGGTGCATTAACCGGACATTCAGCACCGTAACGCTGGCCTTAGAGACGGGAAGATACCAGAGGAACGGCGCAAGAACGACGAGGAGGGGCAGAAACGGAGGCAAGGATGGAGAGAGAAAGACGAAGAAGGTATATAAGAAAGCGAAGAGGAGGGGGAGGGGGTAGGTAAGTACTAGAGTTTGCTGCTAGAGCAGATGGTTGGGATTCGAATTCCTCTTGGTCGCCTCGTTCTAAACCGCCAAGCCTTTCAAACCTTTAAAATTGCCCTCGAATCGGCAACGACTCGGCTTATTCCCTCTGGAATGTGTCTCCGCTTTTCGCTATCCGTCCACGACTTTGTTCGAGACATTCGCGCATCGAGCTTTCATCGTCTCTGTCCTCCACAAATCGCGCGTTCCTTCGCACGTCTAATTCGTCTTGCTTTACACGAGCGGAGAGACGGGGGGAAAAGTAGGGGGTGTCGCCATATGCAAGTCGTCCGCATAAACACGCGCGAATCTTCCTCCACAGCTGCGAGGCTGATTCATTCCGTAACTCTAGAACTCGAACGATTAAACACCGATGAATCAGAGATTCATGCCCGTCGTCGAACGATTCGTCGATACTTGGAAGGCAATCGAACTGTTCGGCCTCTGCACGATCCATCGTAATCCGCATTAACGATACTTCGAGCGTTCCCTCTTTGGGAAACTCGAGCTACCTCGAGTAGCGGGTAGCTTGGATACCCGTTTCCGAAACGAGAGTACGTTAATCCGTGACAGTTTGGAGCCGCACCAAAACGGCATCAACGGTGATACGTTACCCCTTGCCAGGCCTCGCGAAGAAACGTCTGGCTAAGCGCCAAATCGCACGGACGAAGGAAAAGCAGTTCGACCCGTGTTTCGGTCAGGTACTTCGCAATTGTTTCTTCGACATCGATCGTCGATGGTTAATGACGATCGTGATTACGAATTACGAAAGACGGGAGGGAGAATCGAAGATTATTGCATGTCTGGTCGAGTCTCCTTGTCCCCTATATCCTCCCCCGGTATCCTCTTCGCGTTAGGCGAAGAACGCCGTAGTCGCTTTTCACGAGAAACTGGTTTTCATCGCGGCACCGATGGTGATCCTGGTATCGCGAGAGAGTCGAACAGAGCCTCGTGTTCTCGAGACCTGGTCGCTGTACTCACGGGAGTCGGGTAATGCGGCTTTAATGCTCGAAGATGCAACACGAGACGCGCGTCCTTCCTATAGACTTTAACTGAATTCGATCGAGAGGGAAAGATTTCTCCGCTTTCTCGAGAGAGGATTTAAGTCTTGCTCGTGCGTCGTATCTTGATTTCGTTTAGTAAAAAAAAAAAAAAAGAAGAAGAAGAAAAAAATGATATAATCGTAACATTGTAACGATTTAAGAGTTAACGATCGACCCTTTATACCTCGTTTGACCCCAATTTCCATCCACGCGGGACAATGCGCAACCGTGGAAAGAGAAACGACGGTACAAGGAGTGAATTATCCTCGCGAGGCTCCGACCCTATTCGTCGTCGACCCTATAATCGTTACGTACGAAAAACTGGTTTCCCAGACGGACTCTGACTTTTATCTAACGACTATCTCATCTGATAGTTGGTGGCCGCGGACGGCCGAAAAACGGCCATGCATTCTCTCTCCCTCTCTCTCTTTCCCCCCTCCTCTCTCTCTCTTCGTTGCTACGTATTACGTGGTGTAACGAAAGGAAGTTGCGTCTTTTAACGGGCTTCCAGATAAGGATCCCTTGACACCCCAGCCTCTCGTCTCTTCTCCCGTCTGATTGAGTGTATCACGTAGAGAAGAGAGCTTAACAACGAGCGCATCTCCTTGCCGTTTTAATTTAAGGCTCGACGAGCTCGTGCGTGTCGTATCTGTAAATAATATCAGTTCTCACACCGGTGAATATATATATATATATATCCTCTCGTTTGCCTCTTCTCTGGTCGATCCGGTGGCGGCGGCGGCCAACTCGGATCTCGCTGTAATTTCTTTATGACCTTAAAGCGATACGTTCTGAATGCTAAACGAATATGTACACGCCTCGGTAGCCGTGCCGTTTTATCGAAACGAAACGAAACGAAACGAATCCGTTGTTACATTACACGTTTTTCAGGAAATATATTTTTTATTTCTTTGCGTTTAAGCGGCCCACGTACGTGACAGCCACAGTTTTATAGTTTACCCCTCTCGGGAATAACATTTCCGCCGCATTACAAATTCCTCTTTGTCGACGGTACGGGCTGACGGAAGTCGACTATCGTGTGCTGGTTCTCGACCCTGACCCAACGACTCGTACTCCTGAAATCCCTGGACAAATATAGCTTCGAGTCCCACCACTTTCTCTTCGTGTTTGTTGAAAATTGATCTCGAAGAAGTCGCGAGGCAAGGCTATAAAAAGATTTCGGCGCCTCCTTTTGAATGAAACGACAACTTCTCCTCCGTGTTCGTGTTCGTTATTCGTTCCGTTTTGAAATTATCTCCGAGACGAAACGTCAAATTATCGCGTGTCCAAG